TCGGCCTCCCAAAGTGCTGGGATTATGGGCGTGAGCCACTGTGCCCAGCCTTATTTTGTTTTTATTTTATCTTTTTTAAATTTTAATGTTTTTGTTGTTGTTGAGACGAAGTTTCACTCTTGTTGCCCAGGCTGGAGTGCAATAGCAAGCTCTCAGCTTACTGCGACTTCCTGGGTTCAAGCAATTCTCCTGCCTCAGCCTCCCAAGTAGCTGGGATTACAGGTGTGTGCTAACACACCTGGCTAATTTTGCATTTTTTTTTTTTTTACTAGAGACAGGGTTTCACCTGTTGATCAGGCTGGTCTCAAACTTCTGACCTCAAGTGAGCTACCCACCTCAGCCTCCCAAAGTGCTGGAATTACAAGCATGAGCCACTGTGCCCAGCCAATTTTAATGAGATGGAGGGTCTTGCTACGTTGCCCAGACTGGTCTTGAACTCCTGGCCTCAAGTGATCCTCTCACCTCGGCCTCCCAATGTATTGGGGTTACAGGCGTGAGCCACTGCACCCAGCCCCTAGCAGGCGTCTTTGGGCTTTTGAGTACCGGCTTCAATTTACAAAAATTCCACTGAGAGCACGTAAGTTTGCCAGGCTCCAACATTCCTGCCGGGGCTGTTTTCTTTGCTAAAGGAGCTGCACCTGCCTTCGTTATGGTCGCCTCTTCCACTGCAGGTGCCTGAATGTCATATTGTGGTTGGGATTCTGGGCCGTGCAGCTGAACGTCTGTCTGTCACGAATCTACCTTGCTGCTCATTTTCCTCATCAAGTTGTCGCCGGAGTCCTGTCAGGTATCAGCTGTTCTGACCCCCTTCCTCCTCCCCCCAACCCTAGTCCATTTCACCCCCTAATCAGGACAAAATCCCAGCATTCCAGCCACATCCTGTGTGTAATCAGTACTGTTAGCATTTCTGCGGGTTGAAAGTCAAGGATAAGCAACTTGAAATGATTTATTTCTAGAGGAGTGCCCAGATCTACAGAATGAATTATGCAGAAGTTACCATACAACAGATTAACTCACCAAGTTGAATTAGCTTGACATGTCAGAGCTTTTTACAATCTTTATTTCTTACTGATCTTCAACAGGCCCTAATTTACTTTTCAGGGAATCTGCCAAATTTAACAAATTAACACGGTGTCCTAGGAAAGCTCTTTATTTCAATGCATTCATTTGCAAACCAAATAGGTATCTGCTGTTGATCTCTTTCATAGAGATCTTAAATATCTGTGTTTTCTTAGATCCAGTTAACAAGGATAAGACAAGATTTAGGTTAAACATAAGAAAGATTTTGGCCAGGTGCGGTGGCTCACGCCTGTAATTCCAGCACTTTGGGAGGCTGAGGCGGGGGGATCACAAGGTTGGGAGATTAAGACCATCCTGGCTAACACAGTGAAACCCTGTCTCTACTAAAATTACAAAAATTAGTCAGGCATGGTGGTATGTGCCTGCAGTACCAGTTACTGGGGAGGCTGAGGCAGGAGAATTGCTTGAACCTGGGAGGCAGAGGTTGTAGTTAGCCAAGATCACGCCACTGCACTCCAGCCCTGGTGACAGAGCAAAACTCCATCGAAAGAAAGAAAGAAAGAAAAAGAAAAGAAAAGAAAGAAAGAAAGAAAGAAGAAAGAAAGAAAGAAAGAAAGAAAGAAAGAAAGAAAGAAAGAAAGAAAGAAAGAAAGAAAGAAAAG